GGACTTTACCTGTTAGACTGCCACACCGGGCCCCCAAAAGAACAACCTTTTAAAACTGATGCAGAGCCCGGCGCGGTGGCGCAAGTGGTTAAGGTCCTCGTCTTGCACACCTGGGATCACATATGGGCACCGGTTCTATCCCGGCAGCCCCTCTTCCCTTCCAGCTCCCTGCCGGTGGCCCGGGAAAGCAGTCGAGGACGGCCCAAAGCTTTGGGACCCTGCACCTGGCTTCGGATCAGCATAGCATTGGCCGTTGTGCTCACTTGGGGAGTGAATCATCGGACGGAAGATCTTCCTCTCTGTCTCTCCTCTCTGTATATCCGCCTTTCCAATAAGAAAATAATAAAAAAATAAATCTTTAAAACTGATGCAGTAAGTCATTACACAAAACTCGTTTCACTGATATTTATGTGTTTGTGTGAGTCTTTAAACCTATACTTCCTTCTTTATTCAAATTCAGAATGAACTGTTTTATATTGCTTATTATTTTCATTGACTTGAAGGGCAGAGAGAGACAGAAAGATATCTCCTGCTTGCTGATTAATTCCCCAGAGTGGGTGTAGCCAAAGCCAGGAACCTGGAAGTCCCTCTGAATTTCCCACAGGGGTTGCAGGTGTCCAAGCACCTGAACCATCATCCATTGCCTCCCAGGATGCCTTGGTAAGAAGCTGAATCAGAAGAGGAGTAGCGGGGACTCCAGTGGGACTCTCGAGATGGGATGCAGGCATCTCAATGGTGGCTTCACTTGCTGCACCAAAACAAACCTTTGCTTGATAGTGACTTAAGGGCAATATCCTAAAACATGATATGATTTGCCAGTGTATATAAGAATTGCCATTTCAACTAACCTGTATTAGATTCTTTAAGATGTAAATCAATTCTACACAAAATTAAAACACATTTTTAATATTAAGTTGGTGTGAAAAGGAAGAAAAAAAAAACAGTAGACAAGTTGAATGAGGCAGTTTTTTTAAGAAGGAAGAAGCACCAGCTCTAAGACCTCAGCACACTCTTTGTGGCAAGCAAAGAGAAGGGAGGAACAAAAACAGCTTCACCTGCTTGTTACAAAGTTGCCTGTCTTCCTGGAAACTTTTAGCTGTCTGCCATGAAGAGAATCTGGGCTGATGTCATTGGCTGAGGCTCACCTGCTTGTTACAAAGATTCCCAGCACAGGAATATTGCAGTCCACTCTCCCCAGGCCACATTTCCTTTGTCTAACAACAGGGATGAGAAAGATGGAGTAGGAGTGATGGCCCCCTACCTGGCAAGTTTGGAGAACTAAGCTATTTTAGGAGACCTTCTAATTAATGACCATCCTCCTGGCCCAAATCAACCTTTGGTTTCCGTGTAGTTCTAAGTAACAATTTAGGGTCTTTTCTCAAAGAAACCTACACCTTGAGGAGGGTTCTGCAAGAATGTGGCCTAATTCAGTGCTGTGGCCCAGGGGCTGAGCTGCAAGCTCACAAATGACAAAGGTTAGGTTTGGGGTTGGGGCTGGGCTTGGGTTTAGGTTTAGGGTTCCCGCCCTAGGAATCAGTGGATGTCCAGGCTGCTTTTTGATGTTTTTGGTTTTGTCCCCCATTTTTATTTTGTTCTGGCAGCAGCACGCACTAATGGGATTCTGAGGAGACTCTTCAAAGGGCTAGGCGTTGGGAAATTCTCCACAGTCCTATCTAAGTTGCCCTGTGCCTTCCAAGGTGCCCGGTGTGGGTTTCCATCCTCAGGGGTCTCTGGACGCAGTGTGGGGAGCCTTCCCGGCTCTTCTGTTCCCTGGCGATCCTGCACAGAGGACAGCAATGGGCAACCGCGACCCGGAGGAAATGCCCTGGGAGAGCCGCCAAGTCCGTGAACGCCTGACTGCGACCCAAGGCCCTAAGTGCAGCTGGGGCAGCCACAACCTCCGGATCCCCTCAAGTGGGGATGGCGCCCCTGGGCCAGCAGAGGCCTGTGGGGGCGGGGCGGGCCGGCAGAGCGCGCAGGCGCACGGCCGGAAGAGGGCGCAGGGGAGCGCGGGAGCGGGAGGCTCTGGTGGGAGGCCCCATGGCGCCGCCTCAGCGCTGCCGCGTCCTCAGGTGCTGCAGCTGCGGCCTCTTCCAAGCGCACCAGGTGGGCTGGGCGCCGGCCTCCCGCGGGTGGCAGGTGTGGTGTGGGGTCGCGTCCCTCCGGCGTCGTCCCTGCCTCTCTGTTGTAGGTTTGGGGGAGTAGTGGCTTCTGCAGAGGCGGGCTCTGGTGAAGTCTAGTGACATTTGGGGAACCTTGTGGGACCCAGGCGGGGTGGGGGTGGCATCCCGGGACCCCGCAGTGCCCCTCAGGCTTCTCATGGGAGAAGCACCCCTCCCCGCCACGGGCGTCCTGTCACCACATCCTGGGGCTCTGCTTCCACCTGTGCCCCAACCAGCCTCACAGCTTGTCCTCTCCTGCCGGCTGGCGCTGCCTGTGTCCTTCTAAAGGACACCCCTTCTTGGTCCTGTGCTGGTCGGCTGTGTCCTGGCATCTGTAAGACTGACTTCTGTAAGATGTGTGTTAAACAGCCAGTAGACTTTGGGGGTAAAAGCACTTTTTGTATCAAATGCTTTCCCCATGATGCCAGTCTCTTGAGAGAAACAGCTCTTACCCTGCCCCCCAGATGCAGCTATTGAGTGGGTATCTGTTAGCATTAAAGGCTAGGCATTTTCGATAAGAACTACTTTAGGGCCTCAAGAGATTTTTAATTTTCTTCTTAAAGTTTTATTTATGGGCCTGGCGCGGTAGCCTATTGTCAAAAGTCCTGGCCTTACACACGCCAGGATCTCTTATGGACACCGGTTGTAGTCCTGGCTGTTCCACTTCTCGTCCAGCTCCCTGCTTGTGGCCTGGGAAAGTAGTTGAGGATGACCCAAAGCCTTGGGACCCGGCACCCATGTGGGAGACCCGGAAGAAGTTCTTGGCTCCTGACTTCAGATGAGTTCAGTTGTGGCCACTTGAGGAATGAACTAGCAGATGGAAGCTCTTTATTTCCGTCCCTGCTTGTCTCTGTAGATCTGCCTTTAAAACAAAAATAAATGCGTCTTCTAAAAAGTATCTACAGAGAGGAAGAGAGACAGAGAGGAAGACTCTGTCTGATGATTCACTCCTCAAGCGACCATAACAGCCAGAGCTGAGCCGATCCTAAACCAGGAGCCAGGAGCTCTTGTGCGTCTCCTACATGGGTGCAGGGTCCCAAGGACTTGGGCCATCCTCGACTGCCCTCTGCGGCCACAAGCAGGGAGCTGGATGGGAGGCAGGGCCGCTGGGATTAGAACCAGCAACCATATGGGATCTCGATACTTGCAGGATGAAGACTTTAATCACTATGCTATCACACCGGGCCCAAAAGAAATACGTCTTTTTAAAAGCCGCTTTATTTTTATTTGAAAGAAAAGAGTTTCCTAGAGGAGAGAGAGAAAAGTCCACTGGTGCACTCCCCAAATAGCAACGGCCTGAGCTGAGCCCATGTACTACTTCCCTATTTCAGTGTATTCTGAGAGTTGATGGAATGAAAATTATTTGCATCTTTAAGTTGCTGCACGTGGATAATGTAGTGCAGTTCTCATGGTCATTTTCAACTCTGAAAAAGGATTCGAACCCAGAGGAGGATAACGCAGCCGTAGATCTGCATCACGGGCATTCTCCCATTTCTTTGCAAGAGCCCCTCCCCTGAATTCAGGAGCATTTCCCTCTTACAGAGCCTAGAATGCTGAGCTCTGGAAAGATCAAATTGTTTCATCATCTAATAGATGGCAGACAGAAGCATACAGCTGTAAAGATCTTACACGCCATACCATCTCTCACTTGCTCCCCAGTGAGTTCACTTCTAGTAGTTATGCATATGCAGGTTTTTTAAAAGTTTATTTTATTGGAAAATCAGATTTCTAGAGAGAAGAGACAAAGCTCCTCCATCCACTGCTTACTCCCCAAATGGCTGCAATGGCTAGAACTGAGCCAGTCTAGAGCCAGGAGCCTCCTGCAGGTCTCCCACATGGGTACAGGGGCCCCAGGCTATGGGCCATCCTCTACTGCATTCCCAAGCCATTAGCCTGAAGCTAGATGGCAAGTGAATCAGTTGGGACATGAACTAGCACCCACATGGATGCTACAGTTGGAGGTGAAGGATTAGCCAGTTGAGCCATTGTGCCAGAGCCACATCTGCAGATTTCCAGAAATGACTACTTCTGGAAAGGCTGAGTGAGACAGAGCGCAAAGCTGCTGTTTTGTGGCTTTACCAGGCAGAGTGACAGAAGGAGGGAGACACAGATTACCATCTGCTGCTTCCTTTCCCAACTGGCTGCAGCAGCTGTGCCAGGCAAGCCGGCTGAAGCCACGAGCTCTTCTGGGTCTTCCATGTAACTAGTTGTTATAAAAGCTACATTAACTTGTGCAGATTGTGTTAGTTTTGTTTTGTTTGCACCCACTGTATTAGGTTTCCTTACTGTTTTGAGTCATTTCTCATTTGCTTTCCTATTTTCAGGTTAAAGATAAGTATAAATACTATTAACCATAAATAATGATCAACAATGTATACCTAATCATGATTTTCTTTTCTTTTAAAAAACTATTTATTTATTTATTTATTGGAAAGTCAGATATACAGAGAGGAGGAGAGACAGAGGGGAAGATCTGCCATCTGATGATTCACTCCCTTAGTGAGAGCACTGGATTATTCAACAAGTGCCGCAATATCCAGAGCTGAGCCAATGCAAAGCCAGAAGGCAGGAGCTTTTTCCAAGTCTCCTACATGGGTGCAGGGTCTCAAGGCTTTGGGCTGTCCTCTCCTGCCTTCCCAGGCCACAGGCAGAGAGGAATGGAGGAGCTGCCACTTATTCCTGGTTCCCAGGACTGGCCTGTGCTAGGGGATGCAGACCCAGAGACTATAAGGCAGCTGTGTTGGCATCAGCCTTCCTTTCACTTACAACTCACTGCTTCCAAGGGAGAGCAGGAGGGCTGTGTCTTTAATGAGAAACTGCAAAGGGAAGGAGGGAGGGACAGAGGCCTCGGCCAGAATCACTCAGCCAAGGGGCTCAGCCCAGAGCAACAGATGGCTCGTGCTCACTGGAGGCACTCAACTGTCTCTACTTTCTTCTGGTCCTTCATCTTGAGTCCAATGTCCACCCTTTTCTCAAAGAAGTTGACCAGCACAGACTCCGGCAGGATGGAGGCCAGGATCTGCTTGAAGGAGATGCACCAGTCTGCGTCCATGGTGTTCCCAATGCGGGCAGTGGCTGTGGGGTTCTCACACTGCAGGGAGCCCATGCTGACCACTGAGTAGGAGGACATGGATATGTTGTATTTGGTTTCATCATCAGACAGGAGCTGGGAGGGTGAGCCCTGCCCCTCTCCACTGCCCCCCTCTACCACCGTCTGTCTCTCCTGTGGCACTTTTCCAAGGTGGGTGTCTCCACCAGCTTTGGTCCAGGGGTCCCCCGTGGCTGTCGGCTGGCATTCCTGTACTGGGTCCTGACAGAATTCCCTTGCAGGTGACTGAGGGTCCCCCGTGGCTGGCACTCCTGTACTGGGTTCTGAGGGGGTTCCCTTGCTGGTGACTGAGGATGCCCCATAGCTGGCGACTGGCACTCCTGTACTGGGCCCTGAGGGGGTTCCCTTGCTGGCAGTGGGGACTCATCCTCGGTGGAACTGCACTGGTCCCTGCTGGGAGTGCCACCCGTGGGCTTCTTGACACTGGGACTGAAGAACTTCCCCACCTCACTGATGCGGAGGAGGCTGGCCACTGTGGCAATGGCGTGGTACAAGTCCTGCTCCAGGGGGTCCTCACTGAACATGTTGTATAGCGTCTTGCACAGCTCAATGAATTGCTCCTATCAAGGGGGAAGGCAGAACAAGGAGATGGTAAGATGGCCCTGGTGTTCATTCCACACATGCTGCTGGTCACTGGAACTGGTGCCAGGATGTGGTCCTGTTTATCGGTGCCAGACCAGTGCTCTAGTCTTACTTCACACACGGGAATGTGGAGGCTCAAGAGTGGGGAAGGAGTCCAAGCAGTCACTCTGCCCTGCCGGGCTCTCCCCCTGCAGTGGACAGCAGCTCTGAGCTGGGCTCTCTGCTCCGACATGTGGTTCTGCTGTTGGAGATGCATGGCTGTGTGAACCCGGCCTTGACCATGGCTTCCTCCCTGGGGTCTGGCCTCACCCTTGGCCTTCTAGGCCTGGGAGAAAGCAACTTCAACTCTGACCTTCAGGGAAGCTCCCAGAGGGTGCTGCTGAGGGGGTGAGGGTGGTCTTGGGTCTCTAAACCACATCCTGGCCTGAGAGAGGGGTGAGACCACCCATTCCTCAGGCTGGAGAAGGCTTAGGCTCACAGGCTCACAGGGCCCCTCTGGGCATAGCCAGGGCCAGCCCAGCCCAAGCACTAAGGACAGGCTGTAGCTCAGGGACTGCCTCTGGCTACTTTCTGCAGCTGAACCCAGGGGTTGCCCCTTCCTGCCTGGGAGACCCTTGGGAAGACAAAGAAGCTGCTGTCCCCAGAGAGCAGGAAGTGGAGAGCAGACAAGCCTGTGTGCACAGAGTGCCTGGGCAGGGAGTGTGAGGAAGCAGCTGTGGGGTAACCTTCCCCAGGGCTGCTCAGACCTACCACTGTCCCTCCACCTGAACAAGCAGTCCCTGTGCAAATGGCCCCTGAGCAACAAGCTCCTGACTTTCCAGAATCCTCACTGGGACTCCTGGGCGCTCAAGTGAGCTAGTGAGTGATGAGTGCCACCCTGTGTGGACCCTGGGGCGTGGTGCTGACATGGCATGCTGGGCCCCGGTGTGCCTCAGGGTTCTGCAGAGGTGTCTGCTGCAGCCTCCAGCCTGGCCCATCTGGTTCATTTGGGGCAGATCCTTGATGGTCTCCTTCTGAGCCTCTCTCTCCTTGGCCCACATGCAAAGGTAGTGTCGGTAGTCTGGGGGGCTGGTCCCCTTCTCCTCTGTGAGTCAGGAGGAAAAGACATTAATCTTGGCCTGTCATGACAGAAAGAGGGCTTGAGCTTGGGGTCAGGGGGTGGGATGGGCCCTGTTACAAAGTACCTGCATCTGGGGAGGTGCTGATGGGGAGAATGCCCTGAAGAAGGGATGGCTCAATGGGATGAGGATGGTCCTGAGGCTGTGTTCTAGGCTGTGAGAGGTTGGCCTGAGGAGGTGAGAACTTCACAGGGGACACCAGGCACCACAGGGGACAGCAGGGCCTCCAGCCAAGGTCACTGACCTTCAGGGCATGCCTGTCAACTGGGGGCCAGGCAGTGGGGGAGCTTTGCAGAAGTGACGGGAGATGGACACAGCCCACATGAAACCCCAGACCTCAGCCCTGAGACCCTGACTGGCCGTCAGGGGAGAATGGCCTGTACCTGCTCGCTTTTCTTGGGTATCCTCGCTTCTGCTTCCTTCCCGATCTTCCTGTGGTAGTGCCTCTGCCAACCAGGAAATAACAACATGGAGCACATTCTTCTCCAGCTGGGACTGCAGCCCACCTCTGCCGAGGTCCAGCCTGTGCTTGTGCGGGAGCAGCCCCAGGTTCTGGTTCCCTGCACGGAGCCTCCTGCTTTGGCCTGACCCTGGGCTCTGCCCTCCGGTACCACGTCAAGGAGGGCCTGGGCATTTCCCCACTTGATCACTGAAAGCAGCAGTAGCTGTATCCCACTCCGTTTTTTTTTTTGTTTTCTTTTTCCAGAGGACTACAAGTCTCCCCCATATGCAAACAGCAATGCGGTGTGATGGACAAGCCTGAGAACTGATGAATCCTGTGGTTTCGTTGGGAAAAGGTCACCTGCGTGGGATCACACCTATGACAGCTACACCAGGAGGGAAGAAACTTGACAGACATGAACCCTGTGCTCAGCACATCCGCTGGAGGAGGACCACACTGTGCGGTTCACGTGTGAACATGAACCTGGGGAGGAACAAGCTGCCCTGGTCTCCCAGGCCTGCTGCCAGAAGACAGGCGAGGACAGAAGTAGCCCAGCCCTCAACTGCCTCAGTGAGCGTGGGTGACAGTGCAGGGGCCTGGGGTGCTGTGGGGTCTGAGGTCAGGGTTCTGCACCCAGAAGTACAAAGCACAAGCTTAAAGCTTCCCAGGTTGCCCAGGGTCCGTGTGTAACAGGAAGCACACCTGCTGCTTTGGCCTGTTACTGGAAGCCAAGGCCCTCCGGGTCTGTGAGCTAAGCCTTCACGGTCAGCAGGACCTGTGGGTCCTTCGACACACACACTATTTGTTTCCCCTTTGGGCCTGCCACATGACGTCACGGCACAGAGTGGTCGCCAGATGTGTCATCAAGTCCTTTCTGATTCTTAGGTGAGTTTGTAAACACCCAGTGTCTTTCAGGTTAAAGTGCAATCAGTGCCTCATACAATCCAGGGGTGTGGGGGCACGTGCTCACCTGGGGGAAGGTGCAGCTTGTAGAGCACCTTGAGCTTTTCAGTCATGTCCCCGTGGTACATCCCGCCTGTGGGAGAAGGCAGGAGGAGGGCATGATGAGAGGGGCTCCCCAGGACGGTGCAGGCTCCAGGGGGCTGGGACAGGACCTCCTCACAGCTGCAGAGGGCCCAGGAGCCAGTCCCAGGCTTCCTCAGAGTTATCGCCAGGCCAGCTCAGCCTTCCCTGAGGCCAGCTGCCCCAGCCCCACAAGGGAGGGAAGGATAGACTGGCCAGGGATGCCATGGGAAAAGGCCAAGGCAGGGTCAGGCCCCTGGAGGCACTCACTTTTGTTGTAGAACATAGTTTTAAGATGTGTATATCTTTAAAATAGAAAGGCAGATTTACCAGAGAGAAGAACAGAGAGAAGAAGATCTTCCATCCATTGGTTCCCTGGCTGGAGGTAAGCTGATCTGAAGGCAGGAGCCAGGAGCCTCTTCCATGTCTCCCATGTGGCTGCAGGGTCCCAAGGCCTTGGGCCATCCTTGACTGCTTTTCCCAAGCCAGAAGCAGGGAGCTGGAAGGGAAGTGGATCAGTCAGGATATAAACCAGCACCCACATAGGATCCCAGTGCATACAATGTGAGAATGTGTGCATACAATTTAGCCACTAGAGTATAAATCTTAATTTTTTTTCTTTTTTGCCTAACAGTCAACGCCAACCTAACTTGAATCCAGTACCTAACTTGAGTCAATCTGATCATTTGGAAGAAAGGTTCCCTTGTCCTGGGGCTACTGAGGGGATAGCGTGTCCCTGGAGCTGCAGACAGCCACGGACTCTGCAGGAAGCGCAGTTCAGAGAACGTCAGAGGGTGAGAGAGTGTACAACACTGCATCTGAGTCCCTGGATCCAGCCAGGCCTGACACTGTCTCCCTCAACTCTGCAGTTCCTTGAGCCCATGAACTTCTGCTGTAAGCTGCCTTGTGCTTTCTAAGGGAGTGTTCTGCCTAAACTCCAACAAGGCTTAACTTCTACCACTTAAGACTTCACAGCAAGTGCATGCACGGATGCTTCCAAACCCCTTCTCTTCCGGCAGGAACCTCTGTGCTGAGGATGCTCTTGGAAGACAAGGTCACAGTTACAGGTCCCGTCCCTGTTCTCGGCTCTCACCTTAAACACCATGTAAAGGTCTTCCAGCTCTTCAATGGAGAAGCCAATGTCCCCAGGTATGGCTCGGACCTAGAAGAAAGAGACAGGCTGGGCTGAGGGACTCTCAAGTGCCTGTTGCAGCAGGAGACAGATTGTCACAGGGACCAGGGCAAAGGCACGAGCTGCCCCTCAGTGTGGCAAGTCGGCCATCCCACTGAGGGCAGGGCCTTGCCCTGCTGGCCTCTTACCACCCAGCCTGCCACTCAGTGCAAGCTCCCTGAGGTCTGTGCCCTAGTGGGCTGAGAGTGGGGGACATGGGACATTGTTTAGTTCCTCCTGTCTGGACCTCTGCTGTGACCCAGGTGCCAGCTCTTGGGAAGGGGTCCTGAAACCAACAGCCAGCTGCTCTCAGTCAGCTGGAGCCATCCGTTTCTGTCACTTGTGACCTCAGAGTGAATGAAAGGTTTGTGGGGGGCACTGGGGAAGTGGGAACGAGGTTGGCAGTCAAGAGACCACAAGTAGATCCTGTGGCAGGGGCACCTGCACCCATCCAGGGATGTGGAGGATGAAGGCCGGAGGCAGAGGCACGGCACGCAGGTGCTCAGAGGGCAGCTGTGGGATGCTCGGGGCGAGGGGAGGGGACATGTGGGAGACAGAGGGTGCTATGCTTTGGGGGAACGGGGCTTCAGACAGGCTTCCCACTGGCCCATCTGGGAGCAGAATAAAACGACCATGTCCTCTCCCCGCCATGCCCCTGCCTGGTTCCACATATCCTAATGTTGACACTGGTGGTGAGGCAGCAGGGGAGTGTGCATCCTGCCCCACAGACAGGCCTGAGTGGGAGCCCCCCACGCCCACATACCACACTCCTCTTGGCTGTGTCCTCCAACGACTGGATCACTTTCAGCCTGTTTAAACCGCATCTGCTCAGTGTCGCTGGCCCGCAGGATGCTGAATTTCTGCAGGCAGGTGGGGATGATTAGGTGAGACAATGCACAGCCACGGGGTGCAGGGCTGTCACCCCCCGCACCTCCCCACTGAGTGCTGACCTCATAGGAGGCTTTGAGGAGGTCAAAGATGTCTGTCTGTGTGGGAGGCTCGTCTCCACTGGTCAGCAAGGCATGGAGGTGTGGCACTGGTGGGGAAGTACTCTGCTCATTGACCACATTGTCCAGACATCTGTGTGGGGAAGGGGTCAGACATGGAGACCACTCATAGTTATGGCAGACCCTCCAGGAGGATAGAGTGTGCCCCAGCAGGTACCCTGGCAAGTCAAGGATCTCCCCTCAGGCCTCAGGCCCTCCCTCACATTAGGCTCTGCACATGGAAGGTGCCGGGCTATCTTTTGGGGCACCATGGGCAGGGAGCC